CAAGGAGTGCTGCGAGCCGTAGCTGTGGGTGCCAGGGATGCCGATGAGATGGAGTTGCACGGGGCAGTGAGAACAGAAAATGAACAGAACTTTGGAGGGTGACAGAATCATTCAGGCTCATTAAGACTGCTGAGTCCAACCAAACGTGGACCACCAGACCACTTCCCCAGGTGCTGTGAAGTTTTCACTCAGTTGCCATTAATGCTAACAGGTCAATAGGACAGGAACACAGAAACATACGGAAAGCATAACTGTGCCCCTGAAAACATCCACGAGTGCCTGCACAGGAAATGCCTCAGGGAGCTCAGATTCCCCACCAGCAGCACAGCTGGCAGAGCAGAGCTGGGCAGACGAAAGGCTGGGTGGGCAGCAGATGAACTTGGCATGGGGTCATTGGATGGGACAAGGGTTGGGCAAGGTAGACACAGCAAAGGTCAGTAAAGCCGTGATGATGGAGTGTGTGGAATGTAGGGTGATAAAAAGGGCTTTCAGGGGTGAGGGATGATTTCAGAGGGTGAAAGGTGGGAGGGAGCATGGAAGGGGAGATTTAGGCTGGACGTTAGGAATACTTCTGTTCTGAAAGAGTGGTCAGGCAGTGGAATGGGCTGCCCAGGGAGCTGGTGGAGTCACTGACCCTGGAGGCGTTGAAGGAATGTTTGGATTTTGTGTTGAGGGACGTGGTTTAGTGGGAGCTGTTGGTGATGGGTGGATGGTTGGACTGGGTGATCTTGAAGGTCTTTTCCAACCTCGGTGATTCTGTGATTCTGTCACAGGGATGCCCGCTCCTTTCATGAGAAAGGGGGGCAAAGGTTTCCGAGGTGCTTCTCCATCTCGTACAAGGGACTCTGCAGCAGGATGCTGCAGATGCTGAACGTTAATATGAATCAAAAAATAATTAGAGCGAAATTAGTGGACCCCTCAAACGCAAAGACAGCTTCTCTGCCTTCGGGAGTCCCTGACCTCAAAGCCTCTGCTCATCCGGTGGTTTTGCCTTTCTCAGAGGTGCAGCACAAGTAAGACCGACCTTTGCTCTGCTTTGGGCAGGCTCCGTGGTCTCTCTCTGGTCCATGCTGTATGTTTTTCTTGCACCTTGAGCTCCATGGGGCTCCTGCTTCTTCCATGGACTGGGGCAGCGTGGGCTGAGCACAGCTGCCGACTGCTCCTGGCTTCCACCGGACATTTGCAGATGCAGAATTCAACCTCCCAAACATCCTGACTCTCTCGGTTCTCAACTACTGAACATCCACGGGGAATTCAGTGTGCCGGGGCTGTTTAGTTTTGAAAGGATTTTTATATAACTGCGACCTTTTCATTCTGTTGGCATTACCTTTCTCAGCACGCCGGCCATACGCGGCGCAGCTGCCAGGCCAATAACGAGACGCAGGAAAAAAAAAAAACCAACCTATTTCACTGTAAAACCCTTTCTCAAATATTGGGGCAGTTCAGGAGTGAAGTCCTTGTGTTTGAATATCAGCTTATTGCAGAAAGGTTATCCGCCTGGTCTCCCAGGAGGACGCCGGTTGGGTAACACAGCAAGAAGAGAAATCAGAGCACAGGGCAGCAAGAGCAGCACGCAGGTCCCTCCTCTCGTTGGAAGAGAACCTTGGTGACCGTACTGAACTGCTTCGTTAATGCTATCTGACCAACACTGCAGGCTGCACGCTGGTCTGCCAGCTCAGCACCAGGCAGGGCAGTGCAGGGCCGTCCCAAAGCACTTCTCTGCTCCTCTGCTGCTGGGAGAGCAGGCACCCGGCTCCGGCTGGAAGTTGGAGGAGGCACTGCAGCTCTCTGCTCCAACACCAGAGTTTAAGGCTTGAAGGGAAAAGAGTGCATTCAGCACAGCGATGCGACCATCCGCAAAACAATCCAAACCTTGTATCCCTCACAGATGGGTCCCCTAACGTGATGTGGCAGAAGCCTCCGTCCCGCTTGTTTATATTCCCCAGTTCTCCCGTTCTGTACGCACGGACTGTCATCAGACAGCAGAGCTGCCCTGCGAGCAGTGCCCTCCGAGCACGGCCGCGCGCCGCAATATTTCTGCTCTAAGTGACTGCTGCCTTCCCAGTTAAAATGCAGAGCAGCTCTTGATGGCTGCCATCAGGCCACGACTGCAGGAGCCGCTTTCTCAAAACACCCCTCCATCATTGCATTTACGCACCGTCGCTGCGAGCAGAGCGAGCAGAGCTCCTGGTGTGCGCAGCAGGGCTCTACATCACGCAGCTCCACGCGGCCTCGCATGGTTTGCCTGGCCGAGATGCTGCCCACACGTGCTGTGTTCCTGGCCTGTAATGTCAAGCACTTGCAAACGCTCATAAAAGCCAAGGCAGCAGCGTGCTGTGGCCAGAGGCTGAATTCGTCTCCGCTGAACTCAGCTGCCACCGATCAGATCGTCTCTGATCGAGGCTCTGAGCGCCGTTGCAGGTTTGATTTCATCTTTTGTTTTGTTGGACGGTGCTTTAGGCTTCAGTTCTTGAAACAAAAAGCAAAGCAAACAGGTGCCATGATCAGCACGAAATGCTGATTTTCCCAGGTAAAAGCTACAGCAGGGAGAAAGGAGCATAGAAGAGTTACAACTATTCCTAGACGTGACAACAAGAACAGAATCACAGAATTGCTCAGGTTGGAAGAGACCTAAAGGATCACTGCGTCCAACCACAACCTTCACCATCCTACCCCAGCTCTAACAACCCTCCACTTGGGGTTGTTACGGGACATCGTGTCCCTGAGCACCACATCCAAAGAAAGAGAAATAGAGAAGGCCATCACATCCCCCACCCGGGGAACATCGTGTGCACTCGGCCTCAGCAACACAGAAACATCAACCCTTATTGCTAACAACTTGCTGACCATTCTTTTCAGCTCAGTGCTCTCCCTGCCTCATCGCTGAAACCCATGCGCGCATCTCAGGCCGACCAAAGGACTGTCACTCAGAAAGGGTGAAATCTTTACTTTGACTTCTTGAAAACATGTTTACTGCCTCCTTCTTTGCTCTTGGGCGGTTTCAGGCATTGAAAACATCTGAACATTCATCAATTATTTCTGATTTTTTTTTTTTTTTCATGTTCTTGGGAGGAATGAGAAGGAAAAGAGGACACCAGCTGCTGAAAGCAGGACGTGCAGACCGTCCAATCCATCCCTCTCCTCCTCCCTTACACCAAGAACTAAAAGGATTGTCACAAAGAAAGAATTCCCTGAAACACATCCACAGAGCTGTCAGCACATGAGCTGCCCCAACATCAGGCGGCACAGCAGGCTGAAGATGTTGTGTCACCCACGTGGAAATGAAACCATGCAAAGAGACTGGCCCTATGACAACATCCTTGCCAGCTAGAGGGAGACACACGGCAGAGAGCAGACAGGGCAGAAGCTTGGAAGCAGCAGGCACTGTGCTCAGCACCAACGTGGGCCCAAGTTGCTTCCAAAGCACAAAGGCTCAAAGGAACCGCGTTTACCCCAGGGGACTGCAGATGGAGCTTCCCTGTTAGTCAGCATTGCTCAGCTCAGGGACGAGCTGTGAGCTCTTTGGCAGGGCCCAAACTCTTTGAACACAAAGAGCCACAATTCAAATACATTTCTATAGGTAGCACTCGCGTCTGGATGTTTGCACAGGGCTGGTGAAAGAGCCAGAATGTCAAGAGATCCATTTTTCTGTGCAAGAAAAAATTAGTATAATTTCCTATCGGCCGAGCTCCTGAAGAGCTGCTGTACAAATATTGAAAGAAAACAGAGCACAAAAAGATTCAAAAATACATGTAACCTTTAATAGATGAAACGAACCCAGTAGTACGGCAGCAGCCGGCAGCAGAGCAGTGGGTGAATCGCAGAAGCCCTGGACAAGGAACAAAAGTGCAACCCTAACACAGAGCCCTGGACTCACTAAGAAGTGCTCTCTGAGCTTTGCAAGGCTGATCAGCAGAAAGTTGGCTGTTGGAGATGACACAGGTGCTCTGGTCTAAGAAAAAAGTCTGCCTTTCTGCTCAGAATATGCAAGAAAGATACTACAGAGTCCTGAGTACCACAAAGCTGCACTCTTGATTTTCTAAATTCCCATGAAATGGCTGGATTAGAAGTGACCATGAAGGTCACAGAACCATGGAATGTAGGATTGGAATGGGCCTTGTAGGTAACAAAAGCATGGAATGCAGGATTGGAATGGAACTTGAACGTCACAGAAGCATGAAATGCAGGGTTGGAAGGGACCTGAAAGGTCACACAACAATGGAATGTAGGGTCGGAAGGGATCTTGCAGGTCACAGAACCATGGAATGTAGGGTTGGAAGGAACCATGAAAATGACAGAAGAATGGAATGTAGGGTTGGAAGGGAACTTGAATGTCACAGAAGCATGGAATGTAGGGTTGGAAGGGACATTGAAAATGAAAGAAGCATGGTATGTTGGGTTGGAAGGGACCTTGGAGGTCACAGACCCATGGAAAGTAGGGTTGGTAGGGACCTTGAAGGCACCAGAAGCATGAAACGTAGAGATGGAAGGGACCTTGAAGGTCACAGAACCATGGAATGAAGGGTTGAAAGGCAACTTAAAAATGGTCGAAGCATGAAATGTAGAGTTGGAAGGGACCTTGGAGGTCACAAAACCTTGGAATGTAGGGTTGGAATGGAACTTGAAGGTCACAGAAGCATGGAATGTAGGGTAGGAAGGCACCTCGAGGGTCACAGAACCATGGAATATAGGGTTGGAAGGGACCTTGAAGGTCACAGAACGATGGAATATTGGGTAGGAATGGACCTTGAAGATCACAGAAGCATGGAATGAAGGGTTGGAAGGGACCTTGGATGTCACAGAACCAAGGAATGCAGAGTTGGAAGGGACCTTGAAAATGAAAGAAGAATGGAATGTAGGGTTGGAATGGAACCTTGAAGGTCACAGAACAACGGAATGTAGGGTTGGAAGGGAGCTTGAAGATCTCAGAAGCATGGAATGAAGGGTTGGAATGGAACTTGAAGGTGACAGAACCATGGAATGAAGGGTTGGAAGGAACTTGTAGGTCACAGAAGCATGGAATGTAGGGTTGGAATGGACCTTGGAGGTCACAGAAGCATGGAATGTAGGGTTGGAAGGGACCTCGAAGGTCACAGAAGCATGGAATGAAGGGTTGGAAGAGACCTTGGAGGTCGCAGAACCTTGGAATGTAGGGTTGGAATGGAACTTGTAAGTCTCAGAGGCATGGAATGTAGGGTTGGAAGGGACCATGAAGGCCGCAGAAGCATGAAATGCACGCTTGGATGGGAACTTGAACAGAACCATGGAATGAAGGGCTAAAAGGGACACTGAAGGTCACAGAACCATGAAATGTAGGGTTGGAAGGGACTTTGAAGGTCACAGAAGCACAGAATGAAGGGTTGGTAGGGACCTTGAAGGTCACAGAAGCATGGAATGTAGGGTGGAACACAACCTTGGAGGTCACAGAAGCATGGAATGTACAGTTGGAAGGCACCTTGGTGGTCACAGAAACATGGAATATAGGGTTGGAATGGACAAAGAAGGTTACAGAAGCATGGAATGTATGGTTGGAAGGGACCTTGGAGGGCACAGAAGCATGGAATGTAGGTTTGGAAGGAATTTGTAGGTCACAGAAGCATGGAATGTGGGGTTGGAAGGGACCTTGAAGGTCACAGAACCTTGGAAAGTAGGGTTGGAATGTAACTTGTAGGTCACAGAAGCATGGAATGTATAGTTGGAAGGGACGTTGAAAGTCACATAATCATGGAATATAGAGTTGGAAGGGACCTTGGAGGTCAGAGAAGCATGGACTATAGGGTAAGAATGGAATATGAAGGACACAGAAGAATGGAATATAGGGTTGGACGGATCTTGTAGGTCACAGAAGCGTGGAATGTAGAGTTGGAAGGGACCTTGAAGGTAACAGAAGCATGGAATGTAGGGTTGGAAGGGAAATTTAATGTCGCAGATGCATGGAATGGATAGTTGGAAGGGACCTTGCAGATCACAGAAGCATGGAAAGTAGGATTGGAATGGATCTTGAAAATGACAGAAGCACGGAATGTAGGGTTGGAAGGGACCTTGCTGGTCACAGAAGCATGGAATGTAGGGTTGGAATGCAACTTATAGGTCACAGAAGCATGGAATGTAGGGTTGGAAGGTAACTTGAAGGGCAAAGCACCATGGAATGTAGGGTTGGTAATGACTTTGGAGGTCAGAGAACCTTGGAATGTAGGGTTGGAAGGGACTTTGAAGTTCACAGGAACATGCAATGCAGGTTTGGAATGGAACATTTAGGTCACGGAAGCTAGGAATGTAGGGTTGGAATGTTACTTGTAGGTCACAGAAGCATGGAATGGAGGGTTGGAAGGGACCTCAACGGCCTCAGATGCATGGAATGTATGGTTGGAAGGGGCCTTGAAGGTCAAAGAAACATGGAATGTGGGGTTGGAAGGAATTTGTAGGTCACAGAAACATGGAATGTAGGGTTGGAAGGGAACTTGAAGGTCACAGAACCTTGGAATGTAGTGTTGGAAGGAACTTGCAGGTCACAGAAGCATGGAATGAAGGGATGAAATGGGACTTTTCGGTCACAGAACCTTGGAATGTAGGGTTGGAATGTAACTTGTAGAGCACACAAGCATGCAATGTAGGGTTGGAAGGGACCTTGAAGGTTACAAAACAATGGAATATAGGATAGGAATGTAAATTGTAGGTCACAGAAGCATGGAATGTATGTTTGGAAGGGACCTTGAAGGTCACAGAACCTTGGAATGTAGGGGTGGAAGGGACCTTGAAGGTCACAGAAGCATGGAATGTAGGGTAGGAATGGACCTGGAATGTCACAGATGCATGGAATGCAGCATTGGAATGGAACTTGTAGGTCACAGAAGCTTGGAATGTAAGGTTTAATGTAACTTGTAGGTCACAGAAACATGGAATGTAGGGTTGGAAAGGACCTTGGAAGTCACAGAACCATGGAATGTAGGGTTGGAAGGAACTTGTAGGTCACAGAAGCATGGAATGTAGGGTTCGAATGGACCAAGAATGTCACAGACCCACAGAATACAGGGTTGGAATGGACCTTGAAGTTCACAGAAACATAGAATACAGGGTTGGAATGGACCATGTAGGTCACAGAAGCATGGAATGTAGGGTTGGAAGGGACCTTGAAGGTCACAGAACGATGGAATATTGGGTAGGAATGGACCTGGTAGTTCACAGAAGCATGGAATGTGGAGTTGGAAGGGAACTTGAAGGTCACAGAGGCATGGAATGTAGGATTGGAAGGGACCTTGGAGGTCACAAAAGCATGGAATGTAGGGTTGGAATGGACCTTGAAGGTCACAAAAGCATGGAATGTAGGGTTGGAAGGGACCTTGAAGGTCACAGAGGCATGGAATGTAGGGTTGGAAGGGACCTTGAAGGTCACAGAAGCATGGAATATAGGGTTGGAAGGGATGTTGTAGGTCACAGAACCATGGAATGTTGGGTTGGTAGGGACCTTGAAAGTCCCAAAAAATTTTAATGTGGGGTTGGAGGGGAACTTGCAGGTCACAGACGCATGGAATGTAGTGTTGGAAGGGACCTTGAAGGTAACATAACCATGGAATGTTGGGAGGAAAACGAGCTTGGAGGTCACAGAAGCATGGAATGTAGGGTTAGAAGGGACCTTGTAGGTTACAGAACCATGGAGTGTAGGGTTGGAATGGACCAAGAATGCTACAGAACCATAGAATACAGGGTTGGAATGTAACTTGAAGATCACAGAAGCATGGAATGTAGGGTTGGAAGGGAACGTGAAGGTCACAGAACCTTGGAAGGAAGTTCCAAGGGGTTGGAAGGAACTTGTTGATCACAGAAGCATGGAATGTAGGGTTGGAATGGACCATGAAGGCCACAGAAACATGGAATGAAGGGGTGGAATGGACCATGAAGGTCACAGAAGCATGGAATGTAGAGTTGGAAGGGACCTTGTAGGTCACAGAAGCATGGAATGTAGGGTTGGAAGGGACCTTGGAGTTCACAGAATGATGGAATATTTGGTAGGAATGGACCTTGAAGGTCACAGAAGCAAGGAATGTAGGGTTGGAAGGAATGTTGAAGGTCACAGAACCATGAAATGTAGGGTTGGAAGGGACCATGAACGTCCCATAAAAATGGAATGTAGGGTTGGAAGGGATGTTGAAGGTCACAGAAGCATGGAATGTAGGGTTGGAAGGGACCTTGAAGGTCACAGAGGCATGGAATGTAGGATTGGAAGGGACCTTGGAGGTCACAAAAGCATGGAATGTAGGGTTGGAATGGACCTTGAAGGTCACAAAAGCATGGAATGTAGGGTTGGAAGGGACCTTGAAGGTCACAGAGGCATGGAATGTAGGGTAGGAAGGGACCTTGAAGGTCACAGAAGCATGGAATGTAGGGTTGGAAGGGACCTTGAAGGTCACAGAAGCATGGAATGTAGGTTTGGAAGGGACCTTGAAGGTCACAAAAGCATGGAATGTCGTGTTGGAAGGGATGTTGAAGGTCAAAGAAGCATGGAATGTACGATTGGAAGGCAGCTTAATGGTCACAGAACCTTGGAATGTAGGGCTGGAATGGACCTTGAAGGTCACAGAATGATGGAATATTAGGTAGGAATGGACCTTGAAGGTTACAGAAGCAAGGAATGTAGGGTTGGAAGGAATGTTGAAGGTCACAGAACCATGAAATGTAGGGTTGGAAGGGACCATGAACGTCCCATAAAATGGAATGTAGGGTTGGAAGGGATGTTGAATGTCACAGAACCATGGAATGTAGGGTTGGAAGGGATCTTGAAGGTCACAGAGGCATGGAATGTAGGATTGGAAGGGACCTTGGAGGTCACAAAAGCATGGAATGTAGGGTTGGAATGGACCTTGAAGGTCACAAAAGCATGGAATGTAGGGTTGGAAGGGACCTTGAAGGTAACAGAAGCATGGAATGTAGGGTTGGAAGGGAAATTTAATGTCGCAGATGCATGGAATGGATAGTTGGAAGGGACCTTGCAGATCACAGAAGCATGGAAAGTAGGATTGGAATGGATCTTGAAAATGACAGAAGCACGGAATGTAGGGTTGGAAGGGACCTTGCTGGTCACAGAAGCATGGAATGTAGGGTTGGAATGCAACTTATAGGTCACAGAAGCATGGAATGTAGGGTTGGAAGGTAACTTGAAGGGCAAAGCACCATGGAATGTAGGGTTGGTAATGACTTTGGAGGTCAGAGAACCTTGGAATGTAGGGTTGGAAGGGACTTTGAAGTTCACAGGAACATGCAATGCAGGTTTGGAATGGAACATTTAGGTCACGGAAGCTAGGAATGTAGGGTTGGAATGTTACTTGTAGGTCACAGAAGCATGGAATGGAGGGTTGGAAGGCACCTCAACGGCCTCAGATGCATGGAATGTATGGTTGGAAGGGGCCTTGAAGGTCAAAGAAACATGGAATGTGGGGTTGGAAGGAATTTGTAGGTCACAGAAACATGGAATGTAGGGTTGGAAGGGAACTTGAAGGTCACAGAACCTTGGAATGTAGTGTTGGAAGGAACTTGCAGGTCACAGAAGCATGGAATGAAGGGATGAAATGGGACTTTTCGGTCACAGAACCTTGGAATGTAGGGTTGGAATGTAACTTGTAGAGCACACAAGCATGCAATGTAGGGTTGGAAGGGACCTTGAAGGTTACAAAACAATGGAATATAGGATAGGAATGTAAATTGTAGGTCACAGAAGCATGGAATGTATGTTTGGAAGGGACCTTGAAGGTCACAGAACCTTGGAATGTAGGGGTGGAAGGGACCTTGAAGGTCACAGAAGCATGGAATGTAGGGTAGGAATGGACCTGGAATGTCACAGATGCATGGAATGCAGCATTGGAATGGAACTTGTAGGTCACAGAAGCTTGGAATGTAAGGTTTAATGTAACTTGTAGGTCACAGAAACATGGAATGTAGGGTTGGAAAGGACCTTGGAAGTCACAGAACCATGGAATGTAGGGTTGGAAGGAACTTGTAGGTCACAGAAGCATGGAATGTAGGGTTCGAATGGACCAAGAATGTCACAGACCCACAGAATACAGGGTTGGAATGGACCTTGAAGTTCACAGAAACATAGAATACAGGGTTGGAATGGACCATGTAGGTCACAGAAGCATGGAATGTAGGGTTGGAAGGGACCTTGAAGGTCACAGAACGATGGAATATTGGGTAGGAATGGACCTGGTAGTTCACAGAAGCATGGAATGTGGAGTTGGAAGGGAACTTGAAGGTCACAGAGGCATGGAATGTAGGATTGGAAGGGACCTTGGAGGTCACAAAAGCATGGAATGTAGGGTTGGAATGGACCTTGAAGGTCACAAAAGCATGGAATGTAGGGTTGGAAGGGACCTTGAAGGTCACAGAGGCATGGAATGTAGGGTTGGAAGGGACCTTGAAGGTCACAGAAGCATGGAATATAGGGTTGGAAGGGATGTTGTAGGTCACAGAACCATGGAATGTTGGGTTGGCAGGGACCTTGAAAGTCCCAAAAAATTTTAATGTGGGGTTGGAGGGGAACTTGCAGGTCACAGACGCATGGAATGTAGTGTTGGAAGGGACCTTGAAGGTAACATAACCATGGAATGTTGGGAGGAAAACGAGCTTGGAGGTCACAGAAGCATGGAATGTAGGGTTAGAAGGGACCTTGTAGGTTACAGAACCATGGAGTGTAGGGTTGGAATGGACCAAGAATGCTACAGAACCATAGAATACAGGGTTGGAATGTAACTTGAAGATCACAGAAGCATGGAATGTAGGGTTGGAAGGGAACGTGAAGGTCACAGAACCTTGGAAGGAAGTTCCAAGGGGTTGGAAGGAACTTGTTGATCACAGAAGCATGGAATGTAGGGTTGGAATGGACCATGAAGGCCACAGAAACATGGAATGAAGGGGTGGAATGGACCATGAAGGTCACAGAAGCATGGAATGTAGAGTTGGAAGGGACCTTGTAGGTCACAGAAGCATGGAATGTAGGGTTGGAAGGGACCTTGGAGTTCACAGAATGATGGAATATTTGGTAGGAATGGACCTTGAAGGTCACAGAAGCAAGGAATGTAGGGTTGGAAGGAATGTTGAAGGTCACAGAACCATGAAATGTAGGGTTGGAAGGGACCATGAACGTCCCATAAAAATGGAATGTAGGGTTGGAAGGGATGTTGAAGGTCACAGAAGCATGGAATGTAGGGTTGGAAGGGACCTTGAAGGTCACAGAGGCATGGAATGTAGGATTGGAAGGGACCTTGGAGGTCACAAAAGCATGGAATGTAGGGTTGGAATGGACCTTGAAGGTCACAAAAGCATGGAATGTAGGGTTGGAAGGGACCTTGAAGGTCACAGAGGCATGGAATGTAGGGTAGGAAGGGACCTTGAAGGTCACAGAAGCATGGAATGTAGGGTTGGAAGGGACCTTGAAGGTCACAGAAGCATGGAATGTAGGTTTGGAAGGGACCTTGAAGGTCACAAAAGCATGGAATGTCGTGTTGGAAGGGATGTTGAAGGTCAAAGAAGCATGGAATGTACGATTGGAAGGCAGCTTAATGGTCACAGAACCTTGGAATGTAGGGCTGGAATGGACCTTGAAGGTCACAGAATGATGGAATATTAGGTAGGAATGGACCTTGAAGGTTACAGAAGCAAGGAATGTAGGGTTGGAAGGAATGTTGAAGGTCACAGAACCATGAAATGTAGGGTTGGAAGGGACCATGAACGTCCCATAAAAATGGAATGTAGGGTTGGAAGGGATGTTGAATGTCACAGAACCATGGAATGTAGGGTTGGAAGGGATCTTGAAGGTCACAGAGGCATGGAATGTAGGATTGGAAGGGACCTTGGAGGTCACAAAAGCATGGAATGTAGGGTTGGAATGGACCTTGAAGGTCACAAAAGCATGGAATGTAGGGCTGGAAGGGACCTTGAAGGTCACAGAAGCATGGAATATAGGGTTGGAAGGGATGTTGTAGGTCACAGAACCATGGAATGTTGGGTTGGCAGGGACCTTGAAAGTCCCAAAAAATTTTAATGTGGGGTTGGAGGGGAACTTGCAGGTCACAGACGCATGGAATGTAGTGTTGGAAGGGACCTTGAAGGTAACATAACCATGGAATGTTGGGAGGAAAACGAGCTTGGAGGTCACAGAAGCATGGAATGTAGGGTTAGAAGGGACCTTGTAGGTTACAGAACCATGGAGTGTAGGGTTGGAATGGACCAAGAATGCTACAGAACCATAGAATACAGGGTTGGAATGTAACTTGAAGATCACAGAAGCATGGAATGTAGGGTTGGAAGGGAACGTGAATGTCACAGAACCTTGGAAGGAAGTTCCAAGGGGTTGGAAGGAACTTGTCGATCACAGAAGCATGGAATGTAGGGTTGGAATGGACCATGAAGGCCACAGAAACATGGAATGAAGGGGTGGAATGGACCTTGTAGGTCACAGAAGCATGGAATGTAGAGTTGGAAGGGACCTTGTAGGTCACAGAAGCATGGAATGTAGGTTTGGAATGGACCTTGAAGGTCACAAAAGCGTGGAATGTAGGGTTGGAAGGGACCTTGAAGGTCACAGAAACATGGAATGTAGGGTTGGAAGGGACCTTGAAGGTCACAGAAGCATGGAATGTAGGGTTGGAAGGGACCTTGAAGGTCACAAAAGCATGGAATGTAGTGTTGGAAGGGATGTTGAAGGTCAAAGAAGCATGGAATGTACGATTGGAAGACAGCTTAATGGTCACAGAAGCATGGAATGTAGGGTTGGAATGGACCTTGAAGGTCATAGAAACATAGAATACAGGGTTGGAAGGGACCTTGAAGGTCACAGAACCATGGAAAGAGGGGTTTGATGGGACCTTGGAGGTCACAGAACCTTGGAGTGTATGGTTGGAAGGGCCGTTGAAGGTCAAGGAACCATGGAATGTCGGAAAGGAAGGGACCTTGAAGGTCACAGAAACATAGAATACAGGGTTGGAATGGAAGTTGAAGGTCACAGAAGCATGGAATGTAGAGTTGTAATGGAAGCTGAAGGTCACAGACAAATGGAATGTAGGGATGGAAGGGACAATGAAGGCCACAGAACTTTGGAATATACGGTTGGAAGGGACCTTGGACGTCACAAACCATGGAATGTAGGGTTTGAAGGAACTTGTAGGTCACAGAAGCATGGAATGTAGGGTTGGAATGGACCATGAAGACCACAGAAAAATGGAAAGTAGGATTGGAAGGTACATTGAAGGTCACAGAACCTTGGAATGAAGGGTAGGAAGGGAACTTGAAGGTCACAGAAGCATGGAATGTAGGGTTGGAGGAAACTTAAAGGTCTCAGAAACATGAAATATAAAGCTAGAAGGGACATCGAAGTTCACAGAAGGAAGGAAAGTAGGGTTGGAATGGACCTTGAAGGTCACAGAAGCATGGAATGTAAGGCTGGAAGGAACTTGCAGGTCACAGAAGCATGGAATGTAGGGTTGGAATGGACCATGAAGGCCACAGAAAAATGGAAAGTAGGATTGGAAGGTACATTGAAGGTCACAGAACCTTGGAATGAAGGGTAGGAAGGGAACTTGAAGGTCACAGAAGCATGGAATGTAGGGTTGGAGGAAACTTAAAGGTCTCAGAAACAGGAAATATAAAGCTAGAAGGGACATCGAAGTTCACAGAAGGAAGGAAAGTAGGGTTGGAATGGACCTTGAAGGTCACAGAAGCATGGAATGTAAGGCTGGAAGGAACTTGCAGGTCACAGAAGCATGGAATGTAGGGTTGGAAAGGACCTTGGAAGTCACAGAAGCATGGAATGTAGGGTTGGAAGGGACCTTGGAGGTCACAGAAGCATGGAATGTAGTGTTGGAAGGGACCTTGGAGGTCACAGAACGATGGAATATTGGGTAGGAATGGACCTGGAAGTTCACAGAAGCATGGAATGTTGGGTTGGCAGGGACCTTGAAAGTCCCAAAAAATTTGAATGTAGGGTTGGAAGGGACATTGAAGGTCACAGACGCATGGAATGTAGTGTTGCAAGGGACCTTGAAGGTAACATAACCATGGAGTGTAGGGTTGGAATGGACCAAGAATGCCACAGAACCATAGAATACAGGGTTGGAATGTAACTTGAAGATCACAGAAGCATGGAATGTAGGGTTGGAAGGGAACGTGAAGGTCACAGAACCTTGGAAGGAACTTTTCCAAGGGGTTGGAAGGAACTTGTCGATCACAGAAGCATGGAATGTAGGGTTGGAATGGACCATGAAGGCCACAGAAACATGGAATGAAGGGGTGGAATGGACCTTGTAGGTCACAGAAGCATGGAAAGTAGGGTTGGAAGGCACCTTGGAGGTCACAGAATGATGGAATATTAGGTAGGAATGGACCTTGAAGGTCACAGAAGTAAGGAATGTAGGGTTGGAAGGGATGTTGAAGGTCACAGAACCATGAAATGTAGGGTTGGAAGGGACCATGAACGTCCCATAAAAATGGAATGTAGGGTTGAAAGGGACGTTGAAGGTGACAGAAGCATGGAATGTAGGGTTGGAAGGGACCATGAACGTCCCATAAAAATGGAATGTAGGGTTGGAAGGGACGTTGAAGGTGACAGAAGCATGGAATGTAGGATTGGAAGGGACCTTGGAGGTCACAAAAGCATGGAATGTAGGTTTGGAAGGGACCTTGAAGGTCACAAAAGCATGGAATGTAGGTTTGGAAGGGCCGTTGAAGGTCAAGGAACCATGGAATGTAGGATTGGAAGGGACCTTGAAGGTCACAGAGGCATGGAATGTAGGGTTGGAAGGGACCTTGAAGGTCACAGAAGCATGGAATGTAGGATTGGAAGGGACCTTGAAGGTCACAAAAGCATGGAATGTCGTGTTGGAAGGGATGTTGAAGGTCAAAGAAGCATGGAATGTACGATTGGAAGGCAGCTTAATGGTCACAGAAGCATGGAATGTAGGGTTGGAATGGACCTTGAAGGTCATAGAAACATAGAATACAGGGTTGGAAGGGACCTTGAAGGTCACAGAACCATGGAAAGAGGGGTTTGATGGGACCTTGGAGGTCACAGAACCTCGGAATGTAGGGTTGGAAGGGCCGTTGAAGGTCAAGGAACCATGGAATGTCGGATAGGAAGGGACCTTGAAGGTCACAGAAACATAGAATACAGGGTTGGAATGGAAGTTGAAGGTCACAGAAGCATGGAATGTAGAGTTGGAATGGAAGCTGAAGGTCACAGACAAATGGAATGTAGGGATGGAAGGGACAATGAAGGCCACAGAACTTTGGAATTTACGGTTGGAAGGGACCTTGGACGTCACAAACCATGGAATGTAGGGTTTGAAGGAACTTGTAGGTCACAGAAGCATGGAATGTAGGGTTGGAATGGACCATGAAGGCCACAGAAAAATGGAAAGTAGGATTGGAAGGTACATTGAAGGTCACAGAACCTTGGAATGAAGGGTAGGAAGGGAACTTGAAGGTCACAGAAGCATGGAATGTAGGGTTGGAGGAAACTTAAATGTCTCAGAAACAGGAAATATAAAGCTAGAAGGGACATCGAAGTTCACAGAAGGAAGGAAAGTAGGGTTGGAATGGACCTTGAAGGTCACAGAAGCATGGAATGTAAGGCTGGAAGGAACTTGCAGGTCACAGAAGCATGGAATGTAGGGTTGGAAAGGACCTTGGAAGTCACAGAAGCATGGAATGTAGTGTTGGAAGGGACCTTGAAGTTCACAGAACCATAGAATACAGGGTTGGAATGGACCATGTAGGTCACAGAAGCATGGAATGTAGGGTAGGAATGGACCTGGAAGTTCACAGAAGCATGGAATGTCGGGTTGGAAGGGACCTTGAAAGTCCCAAAAAATTTGAATGTAGGGTTGGAGGGGACGTTGAAGGTCACAGACGCATGGAATGTAGTGTTGCAAGGGACCTTGAAGGTAACATAACCATGGAGTGTAGGGTTGGAATGGACCAAGAATGCCACAGAACCATAGAATACAGGGTTGGAATGTAACTTGAAGATCACAGAAGCATGGAATGTAGGGTTGGAAGGGAACGTGAAGGTCACAGAACCTTGGAAGGAACTTTTCCAAGGGGTTGGAAGGAACTTGTCGATCACAGAAGCATGGAATGTAGGGTTGGAATGGACCATGAAGGCCACAGAAACATGGAATGAAGGGGTGGAATGGACCTTGTAGGTCACAGAAGCATGGAAAGTAGGGTTGGAAGGCACCTTGGAGGTCACAGAATGATGGAATATTAGGTAGGAATGGACCTTGAAGGTCACAGAAGCAAGGAATGTAGGGTTGGAAGGGATGTTGAAGGTCACAGAACCATGAAATGTAGGGTTGGAAGGGACCATGAACGTCCCATAAAAATGGAATGTAGGGTTGGAAGGGACGTTGAAGGTCACAAAAGCATGGAATGTAGGGTTGGAAGGGACCATGAACGTCCCATAAAAATGGAATGTAGGGTTGAAAGGGACGTTGAAGGTGACAGAAGCATGGAATGTAGGGTTGGAAGGGACCTTGAAGGTCACAGAGGCATGGAATGTAGGATTGGAAGGGACCTTGGAGGTCACAAAAGCATGGAATGTAGGTTTGGAAGGGACCTTGAAGGTCACAGAGGCATGGAATGTAGGATTGGAAGGGACCTTGAAGGTCACAGAGGCATGGAATGTAGGATTGGAAGGGACCTTGAAGGTCACAGAGGCATGGAATGTAGGGTTGGAAGGGACCTTGAAGGTCACAGAAGCATGGAATGTAGGTTTGGAAGTTACCTTGAAGGTCACAGAAGCATGGAATGTAGGATTGGAAGGGACCTTGAAGGTCACAAAAGCATGGAATGTAGGGTTGGAAGGGATGTTGAAGGTCAAAGAAGCATGGAATGTAGTGTTGGAAGGCAGCTTAATGGTCACAGAAGCAGGGAATGTAGGGTTGGAATGGACCTTGAAGGTCATAGAAACATAGAATACAGGGTTGGAAGGGACCTTGAAGGTCACAGAACCATGGAAAGAGGGGTTTGATGGGACCTTGGAGGTCACAGAACCTCGGAATGTAGGGTTGGAAGGGCCGTTGAAGGTCAAGGAACCATGGAATGTCGGATAGGAAGGGACCTTGAAGGTCACAGAAACATAGAATACAGGGTTGGAATGGAAGTTGAAGGTCACAGAAGCATGGAATGTAGAGTTGGAATGGAAGCTGAAGGTCACAGACAAATGGAATGTAGGGATGGAAGGGACAATGAAGGCCACAGAACTTTGGAATTTACGGTTGGAAGGGACCTTGGACGTCACAAACCATGGAATGTAGGGTTTGAAGGAACTTGTAGGTCACAGAAGCATGGAATGTAGGGTTGGAATGGACCATGAAGGCCACAGAAAAATGGAAAGTAGGATTGGAAGGTACATTGAAGGTCACAGAACCTTGGAATGAAGGGTAGGAAGGGAACTTGAAGGTCACAGAAGCATGGAATGTAGGGTTGGAGGAAACTTAAAGGTCTCAGAAACAGGAAATATAAAGCTAGAAGGGACATCGAAGTTCACAGAAGGAAGGAAAGTAGGGTTGGAATGGACCTTGAAGGTCACAGAAGCATGGAATGTAAGGCTGGAAGGAACTTGCAGGTCACAGAAGCATGGAATGTAGGGTTGGAAAGGACCTTGGAAGTCACAGAAGCATGGAATGTAGGGTTGGAAGGGACCTTGGAGGTCACAGAAGCATGGAATGTAGTGTTGGAAGGGACCTTGGAGGTCACAGAATGATGGAATATTGGGTAGGAATGGACTTTGCAGGTCACAGAAGCATGGTATGTAGGAGTGGAAGGGACCTTGAAGGTCATAGAAGAATGGAATGTAGGGTTAGAAGGGACCTTGAAGGTAACAGAACCTTGGAATGTAGGGTTGGAAGGGACCTTGTAGGTCACAGAACGATGGAATATAGGGTTGGAATGGACAAGGAAGGTCACAGAAGCATGGAATGTTGGGTTGGAAGGGACCTTGAAGGTCATAGAAGAATGGAATGTATGGTTAGAAGGGACCTTGAAGGAAACAGAACCTTGGAATGTAGGCTTGGAATGTAACTTGTAGGTTACAGAAGCATGGAATGTAGGGTTGGAAGGGACCTTGAAGGTCATTGAAGCATGGAATTTAGGGTTGGAAGGGACGTTGAAGGTGACAGAAGCATGGAATGTAGGGTTGGAAGGGACCTTGAAGGTCACAGAAGCATGGAATGTAGGGTGGAAAACGACCTTGGAGGTCACAGAGCCATGGATTGTAGGGTTGGAAGGAACATGCAGGTCGCAGAAGCATGGAATGTAGAGTTTGAAGAAAACTTAAAGTTGACACAAGCATGGAATGTAGTGTTGGAACGGACAAAGAAAATCACAGAACCTTGGAATGTAGGGTTGGAATGGACCTTGAAGGTCAATGAGCCTTGGAATGTAGGGTTGGAATGGACCTTGAAGGTCACAGAACCTTGGAATTTAGGGTTGGAATGGACATTGAAGGTCACAGAACCATGGAATGTAGGGTTGGAAGGAACTTGTAGGTCACAGAAGCATGTAATGCTGGGAGGAAAACGACCTTGGAGTTCACAGATGTTATACAAACAAGCAGAATATGAATTTTAAGAAGAATGTAGATTTCACATTTTCGGGGCAGAACCTATTTGGGTAGAGCACTTCAACAAACTCCGTGAGATTGGGTGCTACCATTTAGTGCTGCCTCTGAAAGATGGGTCTCAGGTCCCCAGGCCACCATGACATGTCCCATGGGATAAGCCCCTCCCCATGACCTCAGGGAGATATAGAGTAGGAATGGAGCTTGGAGGTCACAAAAGCATGGAATATTGGGTTGGAAGGGAACTTGAAGGTCTCAGAAGCATGGAATGTTGGGAGGAAAACGACCTTGGAGGTCACAGAACCTTGGAATGTAGGGTTGGAATGGACCTTGAAGGTCACAGAACCTTGGAATGTAGGGTTGGAAGGGACATAGGAGGTCACAGAAGCATGGAATGTAGAGATGTAAGGGACCTTGTAGGTCACGGAACCATGGAATGTAGGGTTGGAATGGAACTGGAAGGTCACAGAAGCATGGAATGTAGTATTGGAATTCACCATGAAGGTCCCAGAACCTTGGAATGTAGGATTGGAAGAGACCTAGAAGGCCCAGAAGTATGAAATGAAGGCTTGGATGGGACCTTGAAGGTCACAGAAGCATGGAATTTAGGTTTGGAAGGGACCTTGAAAGTCACAGAAACATGGAATAAAGGGTTGAAAGGGACATTGAAGGTCACAGAAGCATGGAATGTAGGGTTGGAAGGGACATTGAAGGTTACAGAACCTTGGAATGTAGGGTTGGAAGGGACCTTGGAGGTCACAGAATGATGGAATATTGGGTAGGAATGGACTTTGCAGGTCACAGAAGCATGGTATGTAGGAGTGGAAGGGACCTTGAAGGTCATAGAAGAATGGAATGTAGGGTTAGAAGGGACCTTGAAGGTAACAGAACCTTGGAATGTAGGGTTGGAAGGGACCTTGTAGGTCACAGAACGATGGAATATAGGGTTGGAATGGACAAGGAAGGTCACAGAAGCATGGAATGTTGGGTTGGAAGGGACCTTGAAGGTCATAGAAGAATGGAATGTATGGTTAGAAGGGACCTTGAAGGAAACAGAACCTTGGAATTTAGGCTTGGAATGTAACTTGTAGGTTACAGAAGCATGGAATGTAGGGTTGGAAGGGACCTTGAAGGTCACGGAAGCTTGGAATTTAGGGTTGGAAGGGACGTTGAAGGTGACAGAAGCATGGAATGTAGGGTTGGAAGGGACCTTGAAGGTCACAGAAGCATGGAATGTAGGGTGGAAAACGACCTTGGAGGTCACAGAGCCATGAATTGTAGGGTTGGAAGGAACATGCAGGTCGCAGAAGCATGGAATGTAGAGTTTGAAGAAAACTTAAAGTTGACACAAGCATGGAATGTAGTGTTGGAACGGACAAAGAAAATCACAGAACCTTGGAATGTAGGGTTGGAATGGACCTTGAAGGTCAATGAGCCTTGGAATGTAGGGTTGGAATGGACCTTGAAGGTCACAGAACCTTGGAATTTAGGGTTGGAATGGACATTGAAGGTCACAGAACCATGGAATGTAGGGTTGGAAGGAACTTGTAGGTCACAGAAGCATGTAATGCTGGGAGGAAAACGACCTTGGAGTTCACAGATGTTATACAAACAAGCAGAATATGAATTTTAAGAAGAATGTAGATTTCACATTTTCGGGGCAGAACCTATTTGGGTAGAGCACTTCAACAAACTCCGTGAGATTGGGTGCTACCAT